ATAGTCACATCTTACACTGACTGTTTTCACTGTTCATGGAAATGTGCAATTAGTTTTCTGGGTTTCGTGAATTAATAACTTTTAATTGAGAAATTATTTGGCTGTTAAAATGGAATGTCCTTTTGTTTGATGTTTAGAGATGGACAAATGGTTGGATAAGAGATAAATCAGAATGATTATTACATTTACTGAATTAATTTCAATGTGAAATACAAACATCTTGATAATTTTCTGCCCTCAAATTGTGATTCAAAGAGCACAGTGTTAATTGGTGATTGTTCCTGAGGTAATACGGTTCCTTCAAAAAATCAAGATTCTTCGAACACTCATTCATTCAACAAATAGTGATGGAGCGTCTACTATTCCCCAGGCACCGTGTTGAGCACTGTGTTGAGCATTGCAGAGAAGACATTTTCTTTGGACTCTAGTTATGGAAGTGGTTGGTAGTGAATGGATCAGGAAAGGCTTCTTTGATGAATTGATGGGTGTGTAAGCAAAGGCCTGAAGAATGGTAGGATTTCTGAAGAATGGCTGGAGAAGGGAGGCTGGGTAGTGAGAAGGGAGAGTAGGGACAAGAAGAGGGCTGCTGGCATTTGGAGGAAGAGTAGCTTGGGGAATTTGAAGAACGCCACATCATTCAATATGGCTGAAGCATTCAATGCAGAGGGAAGAAAGAAAATGTGGCAAGAGATGAGGTTAAATTGGGGCCTTATTGTAAAGCGTCTTGTAAGGAGTTTCGGCCTTATCTAAGACTTACAGGAAGCCAACGGAGGGTGCTAAGCGGGGGAGCAAGATGAATTAGATTTACATTTTACAAAGATTACTTGTTCTTGTTGTACTGTGGAGACAGATTGAAACATGGGTAAACGTGGGGACAGAGACATCAGGAGAGAGATGCTGGAGGCCTGATCTAAAGCAGTGACGTTGGCAAGATAAGAAGAAAAACAAGATGGCTGACAGCCAGGAAGTAGAACAACAGGCTTCCTGGTGAATTCTCAAGGAGCAGAGGGGGCTGACACACAGGTTCCTGCCTGGATGGTGGTGCCACTCAACGATAGAGAGAAGGGAGGAGGGGGAGGAGGAGGGGGAGGGGGGAGGGGGAGGCGGGGAGGGGGAGGCGGGGAGGGGGGAGGAGAGGGGGAGGAGAGGGGGAGGAGAGGAGAGGGGAGGGGGAGGGGGAGGAGAGGAGAGGGGAGGGGGAGGGGGAGGAGAGGAGAGGGGAGGGGGAGGGGGAGGAGAGGAGAGGGGAGGGGGAGGGGGAGGAGAGGAGAGGGGAGGGGGAGGGGGAGGAGAGGAGAGGGGAGGGGGAGGGGGAGGAGAGGGGAGGGGGAGGAGAGGAGAGGGGAGGGGGAGGGGGGAGGAGAGGAGAGGGGAGGGGGAGGGGGAGGAGAGGAGAGGGGAGGGGGAGGGGGAGGAGAGGAGAGGGGAGGGGGAGGGGGAGGAGAGGAGAGGGGGAGGAGGAGGAGGAGAGGGGAGGGGGAGGAGGAGGAGGAGAGGGGAGGGGGAGGAGGAGAGGGGAGGGGGAGGAGGAGGAGAAACCATCTTGATTAGGGAGAACACTTCTCTTTCAATGCTTTTCTACCTGAGAACGGCAAACCAAGTTTAGGTGAAGCACAGATAACTTTGCAGGTGCTTTTTAAAAACCCCATTGTTTGAGCTCAGTGGCTCTGGTGTGTGGGCCCCTCTACACATGCAAATGTTGCTTTCAGTAAGTTTCAAGTGCAGCAAAAGAAAGCTCTTCACCTGGGGAACTTCAAAAAAGCAAGCACACAGCACCACCGAGGCTGGTGCCCACAAGGCAAGGAATAATAAACATTCCATTTTTAATGTAACACACTTTCCATTCCCCACCCTCACCCCAGGCATCTGCACACACAAATCAAAACCGTCTTAAGTCATGGAATGAAAAAAATGAAAAAAAAAAAGGGCAAACAAAAAGTGCTTCCTGTGAGGTGAACGGAAATTGTTGCCCAGTTTATTTTCCAAGCACATGAAAAGTAATTCTGAATATTTAAAACCACAAATTGTATTCTTTTTTTTTTTAGATTTTTATTTATTTGGGAGAGAGACAATGAGAGACAGAGAGCATGAGAGGGAGGAGGGTCAGAGGGAGAAGCAGACTCCCTGCCGAGCAGGGAGCCCGATGCGGGACTCGATCCCGGGACTCCAGGATCATGACCTGAGCCGAAGGCAGTCGCTTAACCAACTGAGCCACCCAGGTGCCCCACAAATTGTATTCTTAACTGAGATTTTTGAGAAGAGGGGGCCCAGACAGGATCACTCACAGCCGTCTTTGACATAGGCACATTTGCATCAAAGCAAGGCCTGCTCCCTTTAATATCAGTTATCACCAAGTAGCTTACAAACAGAAAATCCTGTTGGTTGGGAAAAAGCAAACAGATTCAGAACAAATAAGAATATGCATATCCAGTTGAACTAAAGCCAAGCCATACCATAATGTGTGTTTTCTCCCCTTGAGACAGAAACGTTGCACCCAAATTTTATTAGGAAAACTCTTTTGCATTAGAATATTTTATTTTATTTATTTTTTTATTTATTCATTTTAGACACAGAGATACAGAGAGAGTGCATGAACAGGGGGAGAGGGAGAAGGAGAAGCAGGCTCCCTGCTGAGCCAGGAGCCGGACATGGGGCTCGATCCCAGAACCCTGGGATCATGACCTGAGCTGAAGGCAGACACTTAACCATCTGAGCCACCCAGGTGCCCCGCATTAGAATATTTTAGAACTTCATCTAGGACCTAAGTACATCCACCAAAATATGAGGTCCCCAAATCATGTTACCAGTAATTTCTGGCCAGATAAATGAAGACAAGCATGTGAGTGTAGTGTGGTAATTTAGAGTGTGGAATTCAGTTTCTTTTCTTTTCTTTTTTTTTTAAAAGATTTATTTATTTTAGAGAGAGAGAGAGAGAGTGAGCAAGGGGAGGGGCAGAGAGGGAGAGAGCGGGGAGCCCAGCACGGGGCTCCATCTCAGGACCCTGACATCATGACCTGAGCTGAAATCCAGAGTTGGCTGCTTAACGGACTGAGCCACCCAGGCACCCCATGGAATTTGGTTTCATTGTCTGGGTTTCACCTGATTCCATTACTTATTGGCTGTGTGAGTTTGGACTAATTACTTAATCTCTTTAACTCTCAGTTTTCTCACTGTGAAATGGGAATGATAATGAGATCTCTGTCACAGAGTAGCTGTGAGCATGAAACGAGATCATCCATGTGCAACACAGTGTATGGCACATGGTATGTACCCCATAAATGTTCATTATTAGATTCCTGCCCTACTATCCTCTGCAGAACCACAGCTGAGCTCTAGAATTTGTGGTGGCTTTTATCAGACAAAGTAAGAGCTTTCCAGACTTAGTTCTAGAGCTAGGCCACAGCAAGGTTAGAAAAAGTCAATTATTCTCCATTGCCTCCTTTTTGCTGGAAAAGGGCTCTAGCGCAATGACCGTGGGTCTGGAGGCAATGCCTCTTGATGCTGTTAAGGAACAAGGATATCAGGGTAACAGGTTCCCAGGGGTCTTGGTGGCCCAGTATTTCCTGCTCAGGCTAGCTTAACACCTCAAATAGTTTCTCTCACACTCATGACTGAGGCCCAGGAGCCCTAAAAAAAGATCCCTGGGGAAACATCAGAGACATAGTGGAATCACTGCAGGATCAGCCTCCTACCTTACCTGTGGAACCCCTTGGCTCTGGTCCAGGATCCCTAATTGCTCTCCTAGAGCGCCGAACTTGGAGTCCGCTTCAGAGCTCAGACACTGAACTGAACCCTTGGTTGCCCTGACCTCCTGATTTCAGCTTCTCACCTGGATGTCTCCTCTGCAGGCTGACAGTTGGTCTTGCCCTGTTATTTCCCAGAAACCCACCCTGGATCCAGCATCTTGGAAGCTGGTTCAGACCTCTGGATGGTTGGCTTGAGTGGCTCTACCTGCTTTGGTTAAGAGTGAGGACTCTGGAGCCAGACTCTCCAAATCCTAGCATTGCCACTTGCTATTTGATTTGTGCTGGTACTTTACAACTCTGTGCCTCAGTTTTTCTCACCCGTACAATGGGAGATTAGTCGTCCCCATCTCAGAGAATGGTTAGGAGAATTAAATGAATTAATACGTGTATAAAACATAACATAAATACACATACACAAATAATCCAGATTAATATAGTATTAGCTATATTATATTCTATTTTATCCATGTTAAGTATATATTATTTTACATTTAATTTTATGCATGTTTTACATTAAGATGAATATTCTGTAGAAACACTTACATACATACAAATCTACCTATTTATATTATTATTACTGTTGTTATTGTATGTTCTATCTCCCTGCAGAGATGGAGAGAACTTGGGTAGGCTTTTCAACTTTCTTGCTTTCATCTGAGGCTATAGGTACACAATTCATGGTTTCTACAGACTCTGCTGTAATATGCAGGACAGAGTTTAAGTTGAATTAAAATAGACCCCATCATTTGGAGAATTACAATCTACAGTGAATGTGATGTCAATATTTCTCCAATTCCTAAGTCACTCTTCTTCCAGATATATCTTCATTTCCATTTCTTTAATAATTCCCTTTGTTTCTTGTCCTGTTTCTAAGGTTTTCTATCTCTGGAGCAAATAGCAGAAGATAGAATGGTATCAAAAAACATATTATTTATCACTTGGCTGTTGTTAGATCCTGTTATCCCCAGGAACTATTGATTCAGGGGAGTAGGGTGATTCTGAAAATAGGCATTGTCTCTTTCTCTCGTTTTATTGGAACCAGAATGAGGGTAAAGTTCCCCTCTGTTTTCAAAATTATCAGCAATCCAATCGATTAAGCTGAACCCCCGTAAACAGTCAACAGTAATGCCTCACATGCAGCCACTGACATCAACTGAGAGACACCTCCTTGCCTTGATGGTAAGTGTGACACTACATAAACCCTCACAAAACCCACTTCCTTTCCAGCAAATAGAAAACCCTTGAGAACATGAATTCACTATCAGCTTTGGACACTGGAGAGGGTTGCATCTGTTTCTGGCAAACATGAAGTCAGACCTCTGGTATTTCCTTCTCTTCTGCTTTCAAGTTGAAGCCCTAACAGGTAAGTGGCCCAGTGATTATTTCTTATTATCATTCAAGTGAACGTTAAGAAAAACCAAAGGTAGAAAGATCAGGCACCCAATAGAAGGGCTTTTTGTTTGTTTTCTGTGGTTTTGTTTGTTTGTTTGTTTGTTTGTTTTTGAAAGTAGGAACAACTGGAGAAGAGCCCAAGCGCTTGGCTCAGGGTGTGTGTCTCCAGGTCACAGCTGACAGCGTTGAATTTATCCTGCTTCCTTTGATACTGTGTTTTTCAAGATGAAGAAAAAATTGTTTCATCAGACCATTCAAATTTTAAATTACCTGCTTGGAGTTACCTGTTGGTGGAGAAAGTAGAAGAGTGGCTTACTGTTCTCAGAGAAAGATGAAAGGCAAAATGACTTGTGTCAACTGAATGAAAGTAAAATAATTCTGGTATCTGGGCTGGGAATTCTTTTTGAAGGAGAAAATAAAATGGAAGGGCTTTGAAAAAAAGGATTTTGATTTTAATCTTATCTGGGTGATCTGTTGTCAGAAATGTCCAGGCTGCCCCTGAGGTTTTTTTTTTTTTTTTGACACGAAGTGTCAGGGTCCCTCTAAAAAGCCAGGGAGTAGCGGATGCTAGCCCCTGGAGACGTGAAAGAAAAGCAAACCACCATTCTGAAGTCTTCAATTCTCTCTCTTAGATGGTATATATCAGACTATTTAAACGATTTAAATAATGCGACCTACAACTACACTAAAAAACGTGTTTCTGCTGCTTCTTACTTGGTACATTTTTGTATTACTTTTATCTTTCACTCTGAGCCATGTTCTTGAGGCTGGCAAAAGCAAAGTGAAATTGTATTAAGTTGGAAAGTTCTATTAACACTAAAAGCGAAAGGAGAAATTTAGTAGGTATAATCTTATCTAGACATAAATTTTGCAGCGATACAAAGAAATAAATTTTACTTTTCTCTCCAAAGAATTAAAATGCAAAAGCAGATTGGTCAAATGTTTCATCTTGGGGTAGTTCAAGGTGATTCAAATGCCCTTAAGTAAAGAGGAATGAAGAGTGAACAATTAGAGTCTACTTACAAGTTCCAAAGTCAGGTGAGGGGTACTTGCTTGTTTATGCCTTGTCTACAACCCAGTGAAATCTTTTAGCAGCATGAATAACAAATGAACAGCTTTGGGATTGATACTCATTTATTCATTCATTCACTTAGCTGTTCATTCACACGGCACCAAGCACTTACCATACAGGAGGTACAGTGAAGGCTGCCCTGTGTACAATGATGAACAAAACCACAGCAGTCCCCGCTCTCAGGAAGCTAACTGAATGGCTGGGAGAGAGACATTAATCAAATAATCCCATGAATTGATGATAATTACAGGCAGAACTCACAAAGAAGCCTCTTTATCCTGGGTGCGTATGTGGGTGGGGTTGGGGAGTGGTGTTCATCAAAGTCTTTTCTATGGCAATGGCACTTGAATTAAGATGTGAAGGATAAGTAGGAATAAATGGGGAGGATGGTGTGAAGGGGAGAAGAACACTCCACACCAGGAGAAGAGGAAGTGCAAAGGACCTGTGGCAGGAGGAAATGAAGTAAGGTCAGGGGACTGGAAGAAGGTGGATGTGCCTGAGCACAGAAAGAGAAGGGTTTGGAATGGTACAAGATGATGCTGGAAAGAAAAACAGAGGCCAGATACCATTCAGACTATCTGGGCCATGTAAAGGATTTTGGATTTTTTTCCAAGAACATTGGGGCAAGTGATTGAGGGCTTTGTACTGCTAAAAGGTATCCCAATATGTTAAACCCATTTGGGCACTTATGGTTGATGATAGTGTGCTTATTATCAGCTTGAGATTTGAATTAACAATTGTGTTTTTTTCTATGGAAGGATAGATCCAACCTAGGTAGAATTATTTTGAGTTACTAGACTAAGCTGATGAAGAAATTACGCTTCTAGAATGATATTCATCTTAGGCTCTAATGGAATAAAACCAACGTTTACTCTCCCCACACAGAAAACTGCCATGTGACAAGCCATTTTTTGGTTTGAGGCATGAGTGACTAAATGGAGATCGTAAATTGCTAACATCTCCATGTTCAAAATACCTTCACGATACATTTATCTAGCACCTATTCATTCTTCAGAGCCTACACCAAGCACTTGCAGGTCTTTTCCTTTGGCATATTTTTAATCCTCGCAATGAAGTAGGTTTTCTCATCCCACCAAGAGGTTAAGTATTCTTACCTTCAGTGGATGTTTGAACAATCTCAGACCAGGAAAGGCTAAGTGATTTGTTACATAGTAATTCATGGCAGAACCAAGATTAGAACACAAATGTATCTGACTCCAATATTCACACCTTCCACATTGCTTTGAAGTAGCAAGAGATATAACATAAGCTTAAAGGGGAGAAATTCTCATCAGTGTTGCATTTGGTTAGTGAATTAACAGGCTGGAAATCTTGGTGATTTCGTAACTATTGTTCTTAGTGTAAAATTTAACAAAGCCATCTTCTTTTAATGATTCTGGAACAATAGGAAGCTCCTCTTCGTAAAAGGATCTGGAAAAAATGTGAACCTCTACCTCCGTTTAGAAGACCCTCTTTCTACACCTCTGGGCAATGAGAAACATACGGGTGACCTTATGAATTCTGATATTAGAAAGACCACTCTGAAAGCGGTGTGGAGGCTGCGAATAAGTGGGAATGACGGAAGTCAAATGATGCTTAATAAACGTGCACGTCCCATGATGTGTTCTGGGAGGAAGCTGGGAGAATAACCCTCAGGTTCATTTTGAGCCTTGCTTTTGTTTCCCAGCCATCCAATCCATGATTCCAGAATTCCGTCACCTGAGGAAAAACAACCCTCAGGTGTTTGCAGATCAGCTCCTCCCCAGAGCTCAGAGAGAAGTCTGCGGATCTAAGCTGACCTTCAGCTCCTCCCACAACTCCCTTCAAGTATTTTTTTTTTTAATTTAAAACCTTTTTGTATTTATTTTTCTATTTTTGAATAGGAGATACATGTATATGGTGTAAAATTTAATAAGTACAAAGGAGTATACAGTGAAAAGTAAGCCTCTCTTGCCCCCTTGACTTCCTGTTTCTCTCTGAAAGACCATTGTTGTTACCTGTTTCTTGCTGTGAAACATTTTCCAGAAATATTCTGTCTATATAGTCTTATATGATTATAATCAAACTTTTTGGATAGCTAACAACATATACATTATTTTCTGCATTTTGCTTTTTAAAAAAAGTTTTAACTATGTATCTTGGAGATTTTTCCACAACCACACATATAGAGCTACCTTTTATTTTTAATAACTAATTGTATTCCATTATATTGTTTAATTGTAATTTATTTAGCACCTTGTTAATGGAAATTTTATTTATAGTTGTTTTTCCTCTTATAAAATCCTTCAAGTACTCTTGTTGGATTTTTAAAATCCAAATTGTTAACCCCCTGCCCCCATAGATGAATTCAGGCCATTCCCATTCAGTGTGATAAGCCTGTACTTGATTTTATCTCTTCATTGTTATGCTTATTTTATTTATTTTCCTTTGCTATTGTATCTTCTTTTTTGTCTGGTTCTTTCAATTTCCCTCTTTGCCTCTGTAATTTGGAAGGTTGTCTACAGTTCTTAACTGAGTAAGTCATTATGTTCAGAGAATCTTGAATGTCTATTTATTTATTATTGGCTTAAAATAAATAATGACCATGGCCTTGCCTGATGTGCAGACCCCACAGTCCCATTGACCTGAGAACTTCTGAAGGTTCTTCCATCCCACTCTCATGCTGTCCTGTTAGTGCACCCCCGCCCCAATCTTGGGCTTTGTTGAAATAATAATTGCAGATCATTGCTAGTTTCCTCTTACAGTATTTCTCTTCTGTTTTAAGAATCCCTTCTTGATGCTTCCTTCACCGATTCAGTGACAGCATCACTTGCCTTCTGTTCCTGTCTTGTGATCTCTGCTCTGATACGGTGATCAGAAGACTTCCATTATTTTCTTCAGATACCCTGGATTCTATGAATTCCAGCATGGGTAAAGAAGTCTTTCTTTTCCTCTGAGGGGTAACTAATATCTTTTCTGGGAATAGGATTTCTGGACTGAAGTCTTTTCTCTTAATGGTCCGTGGATCCCCCTCCACTGTCTGCTGGCTTTAGGATGGCAGGTGAAGCGTTGTCTGCTAGTATGATTCTTGTTCTCTTGTAAGCAACTCAAAAAAATTCTCTAGAATCTTGTAAGCTATTTATTTCAATATTGGAATTCAGGAATTCCACCAGGATATGCCTGGCTCTGTGAAGATTTTCATGAGTATTGCTTGGGACTGGGTGAGACTTCTCAATCTGTAGACTTGAGGGGTTTTTTGTTTGTTTGTTTTGCTTTTTGTTTTTTTAATTTCAGGGATATTTTTCTCCCCGTAGTTGTAGTTGTTTGATCATATCTTTGTCTTTTTCTCTTCTTTCTAGGAATACCTATTATTCTCATGTAAGATCTTGAGTGCCTCGATTTTTCATTACTAGTGAACATAGTGGCTTTCATAACTTGCCATTGCATTAGCAACTCCCTCAGGTGAAATGGAATATTATGGTTTTTAAATTGCTAGCAGCATATCCCTATTTCTTCGGAGAAACAGAATGTAGGTGTGTAGAGAGGACCTAATTCTCATCTTAGTTTTGCTCACTGTAAAGTACATAGACTTGACTTAAAAAAATTGGCCTCTATATTCACAGTTGTAAACTGGGCAAAACCCACAACTTATGCTACTTTCCTACCTTAAGGATATGAATTTTATATGTAAAAGGATTTATTAAACTTTATAAATTAAAAAAAATTTAAAAATCATCTGTTGCCTTCAATACCCTAGGAAAGAGCCACATTTACTCCATAAAAGGCATCTCTGTGCTATTCCAATAAATTGAGTCTATCAAATGGCACTTTTTGGTCATCCTAAGTAAAATAAGACCTTTGGCATTTGAAACCTTCTTATGAAAATTCAAAACCGTATTTTGGAAAGTGGAACTTCAGTA